ATTGACTTAAGTCTCCTTTCTTTGGTAGTTTGAATAAGTATCTTTTCTTCCAATCCTTGGGTACTTTGCCCTCTTTCAACACCTGCTTCAGCAATGGTGTCATCAATTCCGCTGTTGTCTCTGGGTCCATTTTCAATGCTTCTGCTGGGATTCCATCTGAACCTACTGCTTTTCCGGCTTTTAGCGTCTTGATTGCATTCAGGACTTCTGATTTCGTCGAGGGTTCGATGTTCACATGTAGTTCTGCTTCCGTTGTTGGTATTGTTGGGCGCGTTGTAGGTGGCGGTCGATTTAAAAGTCTCTTGAAGTGTTCAGCCCAGTGTTTTGTTTCCTCCAGCTCTTTGGTGATTGACTTTCCATTGCCATCCTTTACTGGCTTAATCTGTGTCAAACTTTTGCCCGAAAGGTGCCTAGTTGTTTGGTAGAGCGTGGCGAGGTCTCCTTTGCTTGTGCTGCAGCTTGTTCTGATTTACTTTCCATGGCTTCATAATGTTTTCTTTTGTCTTCCCTGTCACTCTTCTTCACTCTTTTGTTCAGTGTATTGTAGTTTGCATTCAGCTCCTGTTTTTGTTGCTCGTCAGTGCACTGGATAATCTTTTCTCTCTTCTAATAGTTTCCAGGTGTCCGTAGTGAGCCACTGTTTGTCGTGTCTCTTCTTTCTGCCTTGAACTTCCATGCAGGTTTGACTCCACACCGTTTTCAAGTTGTCCCAGTGCTTTTCGACGCTGACCTTTTCGCTGGTGTTGATTTGTGTCTCGGCTTTGTCCCTTATGTTTGCAATGAAGATGTCCTTTGTAGCGTGATCCTTCATTTTCTGAGTGTTGAACTTGGCTTGCGATCTATCTGCAGCTCCTGATTCCCTGAAAGCTTTTAATTTGATTTGGATTGTCCCTTGTACGAGATAGTGGTCTGAGCCAACGTCTGCTCCTCTTCTTGCTTTTGTGTCCAGTAGGCTGCGCCTCCACTTCCTTGAGCAGCATTGAGATGAAGTCAGTTTGGTTTTTGGTTTGCCCGTCTGGTGACACCCATGTAGCCTTGTGGATATCTTTGTGTTTGTATACACTGCCACCAATCACTAGTTCGTTGAAGGCTCAGAAGTCGGCGAAGAGTTCTCCATTTTCATTCATTTCTCCAAATGCTTCTCTACCCATGATGAGTTCCCTTCCAGTGTTGTCTGGTCCCAGTTTGGCGTTCGTGTCTCCCATTAGTATTTTAATGTCACTAGCTGGAGCATTGTCCATTGTTGCCTGCAGTTCTCTGTAGAATTCTTCTTTCTTTGCGAGGTCTGCGTTGTTTGTGGGTGCATAACATTGTATAATTGACACTTTCCTTCCTTTGGATTTGAATTTGGTGGTCATTAACCTGGGCGAGTTTGCTTCCCATTGCATCAAGGCCTTCGTTGCTGTTGGTGAAATCATGATAGCCACACCCTCGGTGTGCGTGTGGTTATCTTCTTGGTGACCGGAGTAGATCACTGACTCACCCGTTGACAATTTGGTGAGTCCATTTCCGTTCCATCTGCTTTCACATATCCCCAGTACACAACATGCAATGCAGTTAAGCACAGTTAACTAAAATGGTACCAAAACCATAAACTCACTGACCTGGGCCAACTTGAACATGTAAATCCAACAATATATACAATTACAGATATGAGTTAGTGTTAAGAGGTCACAAAATGTCAAACAGTTTGTTATAGGTATTAGTTGTCAATGATATTATATCCACAGGTTTACTGTTCGAAAGTAAACGGCTTGCAATAATTTCCAGAACTTCGGGGTGAGAAACGACAAAGAAATGAGAGTTTTATGTATCCAAGCAAAATGTAGCGCACTAGTCTCTCCCTATACCCTGTGACATTAGATTTTAAAACTGTCATCTTATCCCATTCCATCCTATTGTATGGTTGTGTGTAACTGCATGTGGTAACTGCTATAGCTGAACTATTCTCTAGATTTCTTGTTATCTTATTCGGGTCAACCAATCTAGATTTTGCTAGGTTTATATGTTCAGCTAGTCTGACCGCCTCTATTCTGCTAATTTGACCTATGTATTCGACGTGATAATCATCGGAGGCAGGGTATTAGATAAACTGAATTGTTTTGTTTTAAAGGCTCCACAGGATTGATCCGACAAGGCTTGTTTCTAATTGAGTTTATGGTTGGTTTGAATGCCAGCCACTTTTATTCCTGCCTTGTTAAGAATTCTGCGTAAGCCTTCAGAGGTTCCTTCTTTGTAGGGATTTACTGTTGGTGATTTAGATTCTTTATTGTTGGTGTCGTTATTATTATAATTATTATCTCTACTACTGTTATCATTATTATTATTGTTATTATTATTATCACTATCGCTACTATCATTATTTATTTGATTTTTCTTACATATTTTCTGACTAATTTATCCGGATAATTATTAAGTTTCAAGGCTTCTTTTATGTGTATTATTTCTTACACATCATTTCTTGGATAAGGAGATAATACAGGCATTGCTATGGGATGGGCGCGATGTCCTCCAACTGAAATGGACTACTTTGCCAACTACAATAAGGAGTTAGGGAGCCAAATCTTCAGAACAATTAAGTGGTCTAAAATCAGTTGAGAAATCACAGTCAATCGAATAATATTTGACTAAATTTCTTCCATGTAATCAGTCCACTGAAATTGTGAGTGCTCGTGTCCAAGGTTGCGTACTGATATAGCTGGTATCTATTTTTTGTAGACTTACCAATCGCCTAGTGACGCGATTGTCCCACTTACAAGTAACTTTCCTATCCATGCTTTCATTAACAGTTCCACCTTACCTTCTTATTTAGTCATTCATTTGTGCCTAATTTATCAGTCAGTCCTTTAGCCTCTAGTTATTCCTCTATTTTTTTTCATTTTTCCAAATTTGGTATCTGCTCACTCGTTCCATTCTTCATTTTTACCTGTTGCTACTGCTCACCTTATACCCCTTTTCTCTTCCTCAATCAAGTGGAAAGACTATCTAGTGAACCAGGGCCGTCTGACTAAAATATCCTCAAGGACCAAAAACCTCTCACTTAGGGTGTTTCACAACCACCCGAGACCTCACTAAACGCAAGGCTTACTAGGGGTACCAAAAGACAAGCGCTTACAGTTAGTACTCGGAAATTCATCAGCTATTTCATGTCAGAGATACCAGTTAGTTTGTGCACTGTCATGGCACATATATGCTGATCATTGGCAGATCGTAAGCTCAATAAACACTGGCGATAACTTCTTGTATGTATAGATTGACTGAAGGAAATAGAAAGATCTCCTCACCTAGGCATCAGATTTATCACTAAAGATGGAACAAGCAGTTACCTGTACGCTGGAAACTCCTGAAAACAGATGTCCTAGTGATTTTATGGTTCTGCATTGAACACCTTATTGTGTCAAGTAACACTTAATTTGGTGACAGATTTTCTTAGAGAAAATTATTCGTCTCCCATTCTTATCCTGAATTGGGATACCAACATTGAGTGTGACCATTTTCTACTGTTTCGGCGAGAATTTGACTGAAAATTGGTTGTCAAAGTACACCTCACTCACTGTAAGTTATAAAACCTCATTATTATATCTGATATATTTGACTAAGAGTATTGCAACGCAAGCAAACAACCAGCCAGATGGGCTTCAGTAATCAATGCCCGTGTGCGCTAATTCTGAGAAAGCGGGACCAACTCAGAGATTTAACTGGAGATTTAACGCCTTTTCTCTTCAATTGATGATAACTCCCATATTTCTTCAAACTGTCCATAACCCAATACCAAAATTACCATAATCATTCTGATTTATGATTGACGATGGAAGGCTTTTCTAGTAGATATCTGTGACTGCTTAATCTCTTCTTGAACGCGTCAACTGAGGGCACAGATACCACCTATTCTAGTACTCGGTTTCTAGATTTTATGAATCGATGAAAGAAATGGTACCCACAGGAATATAGTTCCTCCTCGTTTCCTGTACCCTGCTCCTATTTCTCTTGAAATGCACATATTGCGTGAGGAGGAAAAGAAAAGATAGATCGGGTTCACAGTCATTTTTCAGATATACTGACACTTTAGTGCTACCTCTTGTCTACCTATGGTATGATAGAGAGAAGCGATTCGAACTGTTGTGTTTTTCTAGTATGATAAAATGGTCAAACCAAAATTTGTACGCCTGGAATTCTTTCGGTGCACTTCTGTTATCTGTGAGGCTGTCTTGAGACAAGGACTGGCTACCTGGAGGCAGGTTCCTAGTTTCGATTTCACCAGAAATTCATATGAATTATTGAACACTTGGCTGGTGATTCTAGTTAAGTTACTGTGTTTCCTTATAAGGATCTAAAACTTCTAACTACCACTGCCCAACAATCAGCAAAAGTTTTATAGTCATGGTTTGACATATAGCACGTTAACCCATGTGTGTGTGTGTGTGTGTCAACTGTTGGCAGTTGTATTCCCTCCATACAAAAATTATATACTACTGATTGGTTGATATAAGTAGTTGTACACCATTCACATCAACCAGTACAGTTTGTTAGACTAATGAATGAATCACCATACAATCAGATGAATATTTCATTGAAGTACTTGTACTCTTCGATTTAATATAGTAACCATAAACATCAGATGAGATCAAAGTCCATTTCAGTGTTAGCATAAAATCTACAGAGATTGAGGTAACAAAGATATTGACAAGAACAGAGAAATCATGATTTTTAATTTTATGTTGTTCTTGATTGCATTGCTGATCAATAACTCATTTTATACAACAGCGATAGTCCCGAAGCCGTCAAGTTACATAAAACCTTCGACAGTCTGTTATTTAAATCGTCCACTTGACATTAAAAATAACTATTCCTCATGCGATATATTGTCAGAAGCTGTGACGAGATTTGAAAAGCGTCTGGAATTAAAACATCTGCCAATTTCTGAAAAAGTTGTAGTCACATGCAATATAAACACCTTGAATATCAAAATTGGAAGTGGATGTGACGAAGGGCTAGGTCAGCTATGGCCCAATGCATCAATTGATGAATCATGTGAGTTGTACCAAAACGACTAATTCAATCACCAATTTGCAGATCAAGTGTGGATAGAAGAATCTCAAATTAGCATAGAGTCCTTCGAGGTTTGGGGTGCGTTACACGCCCTCGAGACCATACTTCAATTGGTGTACCAGGGTGAATATTCAGGGGTGAGTTTCATTTTTACTTATGACTTGATTTCATTAATTTATTTCATCATATAGAATGTTATAATTACAGGATCTTTGATGGACGAACCACAATTCGGACACCGTGGAATGTTGATAGATACTGCAAGGTACTTCTTGCCACTCGATGTCCTGGAGAAATTATTAGTAGGAATTGCAATAGTCAGTATGATGGTTTCTTGTACCAGGATAGCATGGCCATGGTGAAGATGAATGTGTTTCATTGGCATATTACAGATGATCAATCATTTCCCTTTGTTTCAACTATTCATCCGAAACTGTCAAAGCAGGTGAGTAAGATGAAATCAGGTCATTTATTGATCAAAATATTTGTTTAAACTACAACAGGGTGCATATCATCAGCTGAAGGGCATATACAGTGACGGAGATGTGAAAAATCCGTTGGACTACGCCCGTCGACGTGGAATTCGTGTCATTCCAGAGTTTGATACTCCAGGTAGATAATTTTAGATATATATATTTAATATGATTTAATTATCCATCATGTAAGTTCAAGTGAAAATATTTGAATGAGTATGAACATGCTCTTGGAATAATCCTGAAAGTAAACTGTCTTTCAATCAATTCAACATAGTCATGATAAATGTAGAGCAGTTTATACATGATTTTGTGTTTGAAGGTATGTTGAAGCAAGGAGATGATGAGAGGCGTTTACCTCTTCTGAGTTACGTATCAGGTTTGATTTTGCTAGAAATTATAAACCCAAGGCGGTTGTGAAAAATCCACAGCTTGTGATTCTGTTTAGTCGTCTAATATACTCCAGTCAATATGGAGAATTATCCAACCAGTGAACAACGTGGATATCATTGGTCCAGTGTTTGCATTCAACGTCTTGCAGTTAATCTTTGAATTGACCAACGTAATTAGTGTGAAATACATGTGTTATGTGAGTTGAACAGTGTATAACTTCAGACAGCAGAATACGAATCAATTTCAGATGGTGAATCCATTCATCATGGTGTTTTGTATCTCAACGACATTATTTGTCGAAATATTGTAAGGCTGACTTCCATTGACTGTTACAATCATCTTTTGTAGCGCATACATTATCATGGGGGAAAGGATATCCAGAGTTACTAACAAAATGTTACAACGGCGCTCAACCAAATGGAAAGTTGGGTCCATTGAATCCAGTCAATCCATCGTTGTATGGGTTTCTGAAGAAATTCTTTGAAGAAATAGTCCGCAGATTTCATGACAATTATATTCATCTTGGCGGGAATGAGGTTGACTATGAGTGTTGGTGAGTTCTGTTGATTTTATGGAAGAGTAAATAAGTCTTATTCTCACATGACTTACCTCTCTGAGACGAAATTAACTTCGTCAAATATGCAGATGATCTGACTGTTTCGCTTCCCATTAAGTCTCAGTCAGCCTGCTTCAAATTAAGTAGCTTCCTGTCGGACATCAGTCAGTGGTCTGAACTAAATGGCCTCATGCGGAATCCCTCAAAATGCCAGACTATTGACTTCTCCTTTAGGCACAAACAAGATTTACGAACACTAGTAAGCGCTCATGAAGCCTGTAGCATTGAGAGGACTAAAATTGAAACTAAGTCTAATGCAAAATACCTCGGATTGGTTCTATCTTCCGACCTTACATGGTCATCCCATATCCAAATGATTTCCAAGAAAGTGTTTCGTCTAACCTACTACATTAAGAAAGTCAGACTAACTGGAGTCACTCAACCTCTGCTTTCACAATTTGTCAACTCTCGTATCCTACCTATTCTACTTTACTGCTCACCTTTAGTCTTTCCTGGGTTACTGAAAAAGGACTATACCATCCTGAGAAGGATGTTGAAGGTAGTTAGTAGGTGTAGTGGTGTAAAACTCAGTCAGCTCGTCACTACATTAATAAATAAGCATCTGAATACATGCGAAAAATGGTCAAAAGCCATACTCTCTGACTCCCAACACCCCTTTATTCTCAACTCTCTCTTTGCATCTCATCAGTTAGAACCAGAAATCTGTATAAAATAATAAACGCTCGTACAACCAAGTATAGAAACTCAACGATACCATATTTGGCTAGCCCGTGTTCTAAGTGACCGAGACAATGTTAAGCGCGAAACCTATGACCTGCTTTGTTGTTAATAAAATAATTTTGGCCCTTTTATTTCTCCCATATTCTCTCCTATTTGTATTCTATGGTGAACACCCTTCTTAAACATACTTAGCTACCTAAAATTATTATCATTGGCTTACTTTTTATTCAGTATTCTATTCCTTCTTTTGTTTATCTACTGGTCCCGACTATATTAGCACTATGAGTATTACAAAATTATCCTGCCAACAGCCTTCATGTGATATTAGTTTTTGTGATTGTTTTTTTGTTCGGCAATATTGAAACTGACAATCTTGTTTGTGAACGCCGTTATCACCATCCTAAAACTTTGTATTATGCATGATTATTCACACCACCACAACAAACACTGCATTAGTGCTGACTATAAAAAAGCCTGAAATGTTTATTTTATGATTGTTTAGTGCAGTTTAATCAAATTAACTGATGATGCGATAAACATTCTTAATATCATTTCTTAACTTCTCGTAGGATTATAGCTGTTGCTGTTCACTACGCATACACATATCATAGCTTCAATTAGCCAGTACTGAGATATTATTTAGTATGTTGTTTATTTTCCATTCTACTTCTTGGTATTTTTTCGCATTTTTTTTACTATTTTGTGTTTTTGTTGTTGTTTTTTATATTTATTTTTTGAAATACTCTTTTCAAATATTTGAAAAATAATTAGATGCAGTATTGTAGATAAGTGTGGAAAATTCCACACTGTACCACTAGTACTGTTTCTGGAATAGAGCAAATTATTATTATTACTAATAGATTGTTTTAATGAGACCCCACCGCGTTTGAGTTGCCGGTTTGTAGATTGATTAGTAATATGGAGAAAACACACCACTTATAGTGTTGTCATGACGTCATTTTGAAGTTTGTGCTGAAGATGTCTGATGAATTGCATCAAAATTGTGTGTACAGGAAACAGTGTACAACAACCTTCGACAGTTTCTTAACCTGAGTGACTGACTTACCAGATTGTAATTTTGTATTAAAGTGTCCATTTATCTGATACTACCAGTGGATTGCAAGACATTTATTGCAATCGAACATGGTGGCCACAAATTGCCAGTGAAATATAATCTCACATTATTCCTCTTTTGATTGGTTAATATAAACGAATACAGACAACTTTCCATAAGGCACGACTATTTCTTCTTCTTCAGTAGAACACTGAGTATTACAGCACCTACCTATCTCATTCCCTTCCTTCCATTGAGTGGAATAGAAAATCCTCATCAACAATCTCCGATCAAATTGTATTTTAACAATTAATTCATGTAGATTAACGGAAGACTTGATATTGCTGCTCCTTATTTGTGGGCAGTTTAAATTGAATCATCGACAAGAACAATGAACAAGTTTATTTTAATGTCTTCCTGTTTATTTTAGGAGTTCGAATCTAGAAATAACTAAATTCATGAAAGACGAGAAATTCGGTGAGGATTATTATCAATTACATAGATATTACTTGGTGAAACTTATTGAGATTGTTAAGAACATGACGACGACAGACCCTGACTTACCGATCACTCCTATTGTCTACCAGGAAAGTTATGCTGACGAATGTGGAGTAAGTTTTGGAAAATATTTTTGTAATTAAATCACTGAACTCGATATTCAGTGAGGATTCTCTGTATCCCACTGACACAACATTATCAGTCCTTTTATTTGATGATAAGGAGGATTGTTGTGATTCACTGATATATTTTGACGAATACTTCAATGATGGATCACTGCAAGCACTTATTTTCAAGTTATTTTAGTTCACGTCTGAAACATTTGATCCATGTTGGCTGATTTGGTGTCTAGAGATAAAATAATCCATCTATCTCATCACCATCAGGCAAACAGATTTAGGTCGCTGAATGCCGCGTTCGGGTCTACTTCATGTATGGTGATAGGAGAATATTTTCTCCTATTACTTGTCCAGGGGAGTCTGTCATGCTGAATCTGGCTAAGCTTTTTCACTCTCACAACCCAGTCGACCTAAATACAACGGAATAATTCCTGTGCTCGATTGTGAAGTCATCTGGTTGTATTTGATCATTTGAGTTATTTCATGTGATCATTCAAATTGGACAGGACATAGGAATTCTCTATATCTCTGTGGTGAGTGTCTGTTGACAAACTGGATCTCGAACAGACATCTTGGCTTATGTCTTCGTTCCCAGTTCCAGTGGTTAACCTGTCGTTCAGTAGAGTGATCATACAACTAGTTGATGAGTCTTGAACAGAAAGAAACTTCTATCCACATTTTCATTTTTAACCAACATGAACAAATCAAATAAATATAAATAAATATTTCAAGTTTTGATCGCTACTCATCTTGAAGAGTTTACTAGATAATTAAACAACGGAGGTGATTTAATTTCATTCTTCGGTTGAATAAATCTAACGTGTTGCATATTTTGTCCATGTCAAAAGCCTGACAAGCCTCTGAAAAGAGGCATCAGAAAATTCGATATCTCAGGTAAAATGACTTTACACAGTCAACCTGTACAGGAAATATTTCATCGGTTCGATAATGTGGCATCCTCTATTTCCAGACTAATAATCAACCGATAATTCCTTTCAAATTAATCCAAATAGTTATATCAGTTTGACATTCATACCACTAACTTTACAAATGTTTCATTCGGTGAGGAGACATGTTAAGACATCCCGAAATTCTCAAAATATTCTGACGGAAAACGTTTTCTTGTTTCACATGACAACAGGTTGAATTCGTCTTGTTTAGTACATTTTATCACTACTCACGCGTTATACTTGTTTGAATCTCAGCTAAGTTGAAATGAATTATTCTCATGTATCGTTCGTTGGACACTTTGATACCTCGTGAGAAAAATAGTTGAAAATAAAATAATAAAGATATGTATAAAACGTACACTTTGTCTGTACAACTCTTGTCCAGTCACCTCTGAGTCATGATTAGTCATCAAAAACAATACTGTATGCATTGTGTATGGCACTTGACAGAATAAATCTCAAGGATTATTATTAGCCTATATATGTTATTATACATCGTAAACAGTGCATGGAGGGTTTTGTATCAGCCTTCAATAAAACTGTTTGAATTAAGGTCATGGTGAACTGGTGTTAAGCAAGGGAATATGAACCAAACAAAATGAGTGTGAATGTATGAATAATTGCAGATCATTTGTCAGTATATTTCAAATAAAATGAAACGGCGTTAATGTTGTTGGCAATTGTGAGTCAATAATGTTTCATTTGAGGTCTTCAGTTACTCATATTCCTAATGTAACCACCGACAGTTACAATAAAACGTCAATAAGATGTCACACTAGTTACTAGTGTCAAATCAGGCATAAACACATTTTATCTTATATGATACATATAATCAGGATCATAAATTAGGCATGAAGATTAGTGATTCATATCTATACTACTTATTAATCAAGACCTGTCATGCATCACAGGAGATGTGATGGTATCATCTTAACTAACTGATTGATATGATATCTTTCCATCTAATGTCATAAATAGATTGTGACTTCATTCCTTTTGATGGAATAAATTGCAACTGAACAGCAGAAGAGAATTATGCCATATTATTTGTTTTCTGAATGTCATACACGAGTTCACTTGCAGACACTAGCACAACTTACATGAACTAAATCATTTTCATGATTCTAGTTTCATAGATCTCACAGAAATTTAAACTAACTCGGATTTTATACTTCTTGAATTCTGTCTGTCCTGCAATCTTTCTTGATCTTTCTATAACAATCAATCAATTTTAATCTTATGTTCTACAGTCTTTTGAACAATATTACCAATATGAATACCCTATTCAACTGTTTCTACTTGCACTGTGTAGAGAGAGGGAATCAGATGTAATACATGCAGTACTACATGCTGGAAATTCCACACTGTATCAGAATTGCTGTTTGGAAGAAAGTCATTAATACTGTTATTGTTATCTTCAACTATATTTAGTGGCTTCTCATAGTACAGGATTATTTCTTCTTCTCACTGTAAACACTTTCATGAAACACTGAGTATTTCTGTACTCATCGATTTTATTCTCCTCCTCTGAATGGCTGAAACGAAAAGTCCTCAACTGGAGTTTTTGTATAATTCGCGTTTCACTCATTCAGTCAG